TTAGTTGTTGATTACTGATTTTGTTGATGAATTTACTTTATTGATTGCCTAACAAAAATTTTTTCTTAGCCCAAACTTTTCAGAACAATTGATTTACTATGTATGTTTTCCTCCTTTCAAAGATTTTAAAACTTTGCCCAATTTTCTTGCTTTTCAATGACTTTATTATGAATTGCTACTGTCTAACCTCTTTTGCTTGATTGTTCAAGGCTAATTGTTGTGTTTAATTTTGCTTTTTGCTTCCCTATTGATAATCAATTCTTACTATATTCAATTTTTATATTTTATTCATTAAATTTAATGGGTTTAATGAAAAACATTAGCGGATAATAGACTTGATGATGCATGTAAGCTATAATCGTAACTTAGTCCTTACTTGAACAAATTTGAAAACGTAATATCCTATATTGAATCAAATTAAAGCTAAAATCTTTAATTGAGCAACCACTTAAATTTTTAATCTTAAATTGAGCATTTAGTCAATTTTTTTAACTATTCTCGACGAAATTACATCATATCCTATAGATAAAAATTATCCTTAAAAGGATACTATAATGATATGTGACAAGTTCATTACTTCCCATGTGTTATTTTTTTAATGTTTTTAATTTTTTTCAAATATTTTTATCAATTAGTATGTTAACATGTGATGAACCCTTTACTTATCATGTGAAGTATTTTAAAATATTTTTTTTTCAAAAAAAGATAAAAACTATTCCTAAAGGATAGTATAGTGAGATAAGGTAAGTTCATTGCTTGCCATGTGTTACTTTTTATTGTTTTTATTTTTAAAAAATATTTTTAACGGTTAATATGTTAACATTTGTGGAACCTTTACTTGTTATGTGGAGTATATTAAAATAAAAAAAACTTTTTTCAAAAGAATTATTTACTTAATTATAATTATAATAAAACAACATAATAAGAGTTGAGTACATAATGATTATATGTTGTTGGCAATTATAATGCCCTCAAATGTTTTTGTTAAAAAAAAAAAACAAACACCTAGATAATAAAAAATTCATAAAAATATATTTAACTTATCAAAGAAAAATCAATATTCAAAATCTTAAGACTAAATAACATATTAAATTTCAATCACTTATTAAGACCAAAAAAAAAAAAAATGCAACTAAAAATAATCAATTGAAAAAATAGCTTACATGAAAATCAACTAAAAGATCTCACAAAAAAATAATAAAAATTCTTTAAAAATTATCATATCTAAAATTTAAATTTTTTTAAAAATGTCTTTTAAAAACAAAAAGTATATAATTAAAAACCTAAAAATATTAGATTTGAGATTTTTAATAAATTATAAAAAAAAAATTAAAAACAACCAATCAATATAAACAATAATATAAAAAACTCTAGATATAAGATTTTTAAACTCTTTTTTTTAATCTAAAAATTTTAAAACTAATTTAAATTACTTTTTATAAAATTAAAAAAATCCCCATACGATGTAAGAGCAACTTTCTAGTAATAATAATAATAATAATGTATTAAAATTAGTGAAAGAAAAAATGAAAAATTATGATGGATTTTTTTTTTTTTTTTTTTAGCGATAAAGAGATTTTAATTTCGTCCAATACATTTCTTCCCCGATCAATCTAAATAGCTTTATTTACATCATATCTAATGAATTTATAAAAAATTACTAGCTAATGAGTTTACGAGAAATTAGTATGATTGTTTTTGTGTGCAAAGAAACGTTGAAATAGCAAGGATGATCTGGTTGATGTAATTGATGAACAGTTGGCGTACAGATTATACCAGTCATAGGTTAATAAAGTTAGTAAATGTGGGTTAATGCAGTGAATGAAGATGGATTTCAAATTTTTCAAAAAAAAAAAAAAAAACCAAAGACAGATTGAAAAGGAGAAATGAGAGCAGATTTTTTGCTGGTTTACGACAATAACAATAGATTGAAAATATGAAGGTCCTAACAGGATTGCTTTTTTGGACCATACAATTAAAAACACTTTTTTTCTAAAAAATTTAAAAATATATCTTTTTGATATTTTGGAGAAAGTGACTGCAATTTTGAATGAAAAATGTATGTATTTATCACTGAATTAGATACTGGTATATAAAATGACAGATAATTTGTAATATTTTATGTTAAGATATATGGAATAATATTGTTAAAACAAAATTTGCAAGAAACAGTTGTATAAATGGTGAAGATTTGCGAATTCATCAGAAAAGCATTCTTCAAGAACCAACCACATCATTTCAAGCATTACTTTGGTTAGATTAATGTGAAACTAACCTCTATTACCACCATGTTTTACCGGACGAGGAAATGATCTGCCAGGAAAGGGAGAAAGATACACGCATTAGGTTATATTTCGAGAACGAACAACTACAATTATAATAGACATGCAGTCACAAGGTGGATTTTATTAGTTCTACAAGCTTTAAGTAAGCATGATATACAGGAATATAAAGCATTTGAAATTCTTTGGCACAAACCTTGAAGCCATTCACACAACTATGAAATCATAGCAAGATACCTTGAATTTAAAAACAGGATGAATAAAAAAGTTATATGGAGAAAAGAAGACCAACCTGAGCCAGTCGCCGACTGTCTCTAGAAGACTCATTAACCAAGTTAGACTTAGCAGTTTCTTGCAAACTATTTTCTTTCTCCTCAGCCCTCCTCTTGAAACTGTCATCTTCAGAAGACTTTTCTTCTGGGTTACTAAGTGATTCTTTCTTACGTTTCCTCTGGAAGGTGTATTTGAGAAGTCTATCATTGAAGTTGTCCACCTTAGTTGAAGATTCATTAGTTAATGCTTTGGCATCTTTCAAGTCAGAATCTGTGAAGGAAAGCTCATTTCAGAAGATGAAAGTGTTGAAGTCTCCCCGGAGTTGCCCTCTTCTCGGACCAAAACAGACTCATCTCCAAATTTCATGTCATTGTCTGTAGCACTCTTGACAAATCTAGATTTATTGAGTGCCCTGACACCCACAATGACATTTTTTGGTCCTAATAATACGTGTTAACCCAGGATCCAAACGGGCCAATGGCTTTATCTTGGTTTCAGTTTCAGCTGTTTTCAATTGATCTTCATTTGATTTCACATTAAAGCAGACTGATCTCAACGTCTTAGAACAGCTAAGAACTGTTGATGACTGACAAGGCTCAGTGAGCTGATCCGGAAGAGACTGGAATGATGTGGCAATATCATTGCTACTTTTTACTTTTTCATTTCTTTTTCCATTATAGATGGCCACAATTTCATCTTTATGACAGCTGCTTTCATGACGCAATTCTTCTTCCAACTCACCGGAATTTTTTGCTCTATCCATACTACCAACCCTGATAGAGGACACAGTGCGAGAACCTTTAACAGGTTTAACATTTCCATTAATTGTATAGGTGCTGCAACGGTAAAGAACAGAAGATGGTTGACAAGGTTTCATGCGCTGACCAGGATGAAATCTGTGTGCTGCAGCTTTGATTATGCTAAATCGAGTCTCTCCTCCTTTTTGTGTGAACTTTGACAGATTTCTTTGTTTCTTCTCCAGAAAAGTCCATTGCCTTCAAGGTCTTTGTTTTAGTAGAGGATTGCATACACTGTCTCTCATGTTAAGCACTTATTTCCATAATAAACTCTTCCCTCAAGAGCGAATTTTTACCATCCAGATCTCCGGAAGTCAATTTACCATCCAGCAAATTTCCTTTGAGAGCACAAACTCTTTGTGTATTGTAACGCCCTCAATCTCATATTGAAAGAATGTGTGGATATAGTATGATGTATATGTAAAGATCTAAATCTAAATCTGTGAAGTGCTTTTGTGAGATAAAATTGTGAGATTTTAAGATCAAATTAGATAATATCTCACAGGTTGGGCGTAGGTCTCCATAAATAGTATCAGAGTGGTCACCAATCGGTGAGAACTAAGTGCTATATCGTGGGAGTCACTAAGTGCTACACGGTGGGGAATCACCTCTAGAATCTTAATGTCTGGTGTGATCTTAGATCTGTGACTGGTGTGATTTTAGACCTGTGATTGGATTCGACTTGACAAGAACATCAAGCTTTAAAGGTAGGGAGATTATACCGTGTAGCACTTAGTGACTCCCACAATATAACACTTAGTTTTCGTCGACGGATGAGCGCTCTGATACCATTTGTGAAGATCTATACCCAACCTTACGAAATATTGTTTGCTTTTGACCCGAAAGTCTCAACGAAGTATTGTTTGCTTTTGACCTGAAGGTCTCATAGTTTTGTTTCACAAAATGTGCCTCACAAGTTTGAGATTAAATCTCAATTTATATATCATACCGTATCCACACATTGTGGAGATTTACATCTAATCTGCGAGGTATTGTTCGTTTTTGACTTGAAGGTCTCACAATTTTGTCCTGCAAAAGAGACTTCATAAGTTTAAGATTAAGTCTCAACTTATATATATCAAAAGTATCCACACATTCTTTCAATGTGAGATTAGGAACGTTACAATCTTCCTACCTTTAAAGCTTGATGTCCCTATCAAATAGAGTCTAACTACAAAACCAAAATCACACAAGATGTTGAGATTCTAAAAGTAGCTCCCCACTCAGATGTTGAGATTCTAAAGGTAGCTTCTCACCCCAGACGTTGGAATTCTAAAGGTAACTTCCCACCGTGTAGCACTTAATGACTCTCATGAGTCTACTATAAAGCATTTAATGATTCAAACGACGTAGGACTTAGTTCCTACTGACTAATAACCGCTCCGATACTATTTGTAAAGACCCGCATCCACTTTGCGAGGTATTGTCTACTTTGATCTGAAAGTTTCACGGTTTTGTTTAACAAAAAGTGTTTCATAGGTTTAAGTTTAGATCTTAACTTATATATTATACCATATCCATACATTCTTTCAATGTTGGATTAAAAGCGTTACAATTCCCCCATCCCTTTAAGCTTGACATCCTTGTTAAGCCGAACCAAGATCACACTTCAATGTTGGATTGAGAGTGAACCAAGATCACACTTCAATGTTGGATTGAGAGTGAAGCTTGACGTCCTTGTTAAACCGAATTTAACCATAAAACCAAGATCACACCAAACATTAGAAGCCTCATAGGTTTAGGTTTAGATCTCAACTTATATATTATATCATATCTATACATTCTTTTAATGTTGAATTGAGGGTGTTACAATCTTCCCACCCCTGACGTCCTAACCACAAGGCTAAAATCACACTAGACGTTAAGATTCTAGAGGTGGCTCCCCACCATGTAACACATAGTTTTCACCGACTGGTGATCACTTTAATATTATTTGTGGAGACCCACGTCTAACCTATGAAATATTGTCCGCTTTTAACTCGAAGTCTCACGGTTTTGTCCCACAAAAAACGCCTCATAAGTTTGGGATTAAATCTCAACTTATACATCATATCGTATTCACACATTCTTTCAATGTGGGATTGGGGACGTTACATGTATAACCATTTCTATACAACTTGGCTTCTTGCTTGTCATAAGTACAGTGGCCAAGTCAAAGTTACGAGGACAATAAGTCTCAACATTATAAAATTTAGGTTGATCGATTTGCTTTGCAGCATTGCAGCATCTATTACCAGGATATCCCTGATTCAATCCATTGTTCCTCATGTCAGATTCTGTGACAGTCATATATCCTGAATTTAAAGGAGATTGTACAGTGCGCTCAGTTGTTGGATCTTTTAGAGAATATGCATCTTCACTGGTGATTTGCCAACTTAATGGCTGCACCCTAGTGTTCTTGGCTCTCTCCAGCTTATCCCGTAGACAATATAATTCCACTCTAAGATCTGTTATGATATCCTCTGCTTCATGGAGCTGTGCTTCAAGCTCATCGATCTTTCTCTTCTGATTAAAGGATGTTGTCTCTGCTTCAAATGTCTGTAAAGAAGCAAGCATTTGAGAATGCAGCATTTATTGTCAAAAAATGGAGATCTAAGTTATAGGATTGTTGCGGACAGCATCCATTGACACTAACTAACAACTACTTATGAAGTAGGCAGGCTTATCTCCAGCTTCTTTAAACTAACTGAATATTTGAATCCAACAAGAAAACTTTATGTTACTTGTGTTTCCATAGTAGCAAAATGCAAATACTTTATTCAGCCCAGTTGTTGCAGCATGTGGGATAAAAGGCATATCGATAGTAATAAGAACTGTAGCATCTGTGATTGCATCAATTTTCAATCAATTTGACATTTTACCACCTCTTGAAACCAGAAGAAGCTTAACCCTAATCTTATACTAGCAATTCTTCAGAAATCTGCAACAATTGGAGGTTGATCAAGCACCTCATCAACCAAGACTTAGATCCCTAGTACCTTCCAATCATTATATATATTACAAATCGAACTGGAAATTCGGATTTTGATAAGAGAAATCAAATTCAGCTGATTAATAAAGTCAATATAAAAAAAGATTTAAAATTTACTAGAAATTTAGTAAGAGTCAATCGAAAATCAATATTCAAAATCTTGATCACTAAAATAAACCAAATTCATAAAAGATTCAAACAAATATAATCTTCACCTCAATCGGTTTCATTTTGTTCACATTCATTGACCAGCATTTTCAAATTAGTTTCCTTCTTTTGCAAGCAAAATTTTCAAAAAATTATAATCCAGACAATTTAAAATTTTAAAAAAATCTATAAATTCAAACTAAAATTTAAATAAAAATTATGTTCAAACTAAAAAAAAATCTCAGAAGGCTATTTTAATATGCTTTATAAATTAAAAAAGAAATTTGAAAAGAAGAAAAAAAAAGGAATGTACCTTGGCGTCGATCATGTGTTTCAAGCGAAGAAGCAAACGAAGCGACTCCTCCTTGGAACAATTCAGTTGGTGCTGAAACAACGCCGCTCTTTTCTCCGACACCATTACTCTCACCACTGCTTCCTTCGCCGTGTTCAGTATTATATCCGTGTACGCCACCTTCAACGCCACCGTTTTTTACACCAAACATAACCAGAACAATCAATCGCGTTTCAAAACTCAATAATAAAAGAAATAAAGAAAAAGAAAGAGGAATTCAAGGGTAGTTTCGTAACTTACGTCCGAATCTCCCATCGCGATTTGGGAGTTGATGATCTTCTCACCTCTCAGAGTTCAGATTCGTCGGGCGGTCATTCCGTTGAGAAACGGAGCCTAAAAGAGGAGGTTAACTGAAAGGGAATTAAAAGACGTTATTGCCCTTGGGTTTGAATTTGAATAACGAAAAGGACAAAAAAATCTCCTGCCAAAACGAGTAACAGTCAGTTTGGTGATTCTGATTGGGCCGTTACTAGTTACTTGTCAGGGAAATTTGGACCCCACTTTTTGAATTTTTTGAGAACGACTTCTCTGCTGAAAACGTTAAAACGGTGGCGTTTAATGTTGCGTTAAAGGCACAGAGTAAAAAGGGATGGGGTCCACAAGGGAATTTTTTTTAAATTATTTTAATGCAATGATTTTTTTTTTTAATTTTGAAATTTGGAAAAGGTTTGGTGGTGGGGTCTGTCTGCCAGATGGAGGGTTAAGATTTGGAGAAGAAGTTGATCTTTGAGTTGTAGCCGTTTGATCTCGTTGCGGGAAGAATTTTTAGATCGCAACATTTTAATTACCGAGGTTTAATTTTTTTGGTACTTGCATTTAAATTGTTCGAGTTAAAATTGCACGTAACCAGTAAATGTATATGTTTGGGCCGGATCCACCTTACATTGGGCCTAATCTTTGACATTGAACTAAGCTTTTAGTTTTTTAGACCAAAATTATATTATATTTATAATGTATAAAATATTAAAATTTATACGTTTATATCATATTTTATATAAAAATTATATGTCATAATTCATATTAATATAAAAATATAAAATATATTTTTTATTTTATTAAACTCATATATAATTACTGTTACAATTTTAAATCATATCACTTTGATATTTTATTTTTTTTATTTTGTTCATATTATATTATCATATCATTTCAACATTATTATGTTTTAAATTAAATTAAATGCATCATCACAATAATTTAATTGCCGTTAAGACAGTGATGCCATATATTGCTTTTATCAATAGCAACAACTGGCTGATGATAACAGGACTGTGCTGCATCGCATGCTCCAGTAGACAGACACTAATGCTTGGCATCTCTTTTGTTTGTACACTGTTGGCATAGCAACAAGTTGATTATTTATGTGCCCCAAATGCTTTTCTGCTGGAAATCCTTTCAACTAAGCTGCAAATTGGTCAAATATGCACCACCACAGGATCTTAATGAACTGTTCGGTACAGTATTTATTTTGAATTATAATCACTGCTTTTGATTGATTCCTGGTAATTTGAGAACATTAGTATCTTGTTTAGGTTTTGGTGGTCGTAGTGGTGGATTTTACTCTTGTTTTGTGTGTGTATGGTTGTGTCTGGTAGAACAGGAACATTTACTGTGTTGAGATGGAGCTACAATTACAATGTCAAATTCCATGCTTTATCTACTTTATGGAATGGAAAATCAAGAATGACATGAAAGAAACGTTCAACAAGATTTTGAAGTTGATGAAACCCTCACGCCATACGCCTAAATCAACTGATTAACAATAAAAAATTGGTCAGGATGGCTGAGTCCTTAAGCAATTCAGGTAAAACACACCAAAGTAGCCACGTCGCCTCTTCTAAGGGGATGGATCACCATAAGGAGGGACTCGTCAAGAGCTTCACCAATAACTTGTCAAAACAATTACATTAAAAATTGATCCATAAGCATTAAATTTATCTAAAATCATTAAATACGATTTGTATTTATCTGAGATTATTAAATATAATTTTTATCTATTCATATACATTTTTTTTCGAGTTTCATATAAATATTTCATCTATTATCAATTATTTTAGTCAAACCATCATTTTTAATCTCAAGCAAGTGATAAATTAATAAAAAAAAAAAAAAGGAAACACACAAAAAGAGAGACCCAACTCTGTAAAAGAACTCTCTCTCCACTAGAGCTTCTCACACATACCTTACTATCTGACTTTCCAACCTTCCCTTAAGTAAAATACTGACTTAAGCATCGGAATGAGCTCTAGAGTAACAACTCCGATGTCCCCTGATCGTATTTTCTAACTTCAGATCACAGTCGTTTCTTCCTTCCATCTTGCTTCTTCCAATTAAGATTTCTAAAGCCAACATCAACACTACCGTTAACTGTAACATGGATCCATCTGTCCACTCTCAAGGCTTTTAATGCATTTTGGACTTCACAATTTCATTCTGATTTCAGACCCTGATTGTCCATGGGTCTACAACCGTAAATGTAGGCCCGAGGAGCATAATTTATTCAATTAACATATTATCTAACCTCTTTCCATAACGATTTTAAAGACATAATTTCTCATATGAACATGGTTCATTCGGGATTTTAGTAAGAGAATGCTTTTGACAAAAATCGAACCCTAATCTAAGTTATTTATTAATAGTATTTAACAGCAATATGAATTTAGTAATTTCTTGCAAAGGCTAGACTAGAATATGGGAATGTTGAGGCTTATGAATCATGAGGCAGTCAATTTTGTTACATCAATAAGGAGTGCATAATTTTTCCAATCTTTCAATCAAAAAGATTAAAGAAGGTGCACGAGCTGTCTCCCATTATATGCAACAGAAAGTTCCCTTAATTTGAATCTCTGTTACTTTGGACCAAGTCTTTGCTTCTAGAACCATTCAAAATCAATCCAGAAAAAGAAGCAAAAAGAAAGGAAAAAAGTGAAAAAAAAAAAGAGTAATGACAGAGATTGCTTCTTGCTTCTTTTGTTTTTTTTTTTCACTTTGAAGAGTAACCATTAAATAATCATATACTAATATCATTTTGCTTTTTTCTTCGTTCCATCAAAAAGAAAAGAAACCAAAAAAAAAAATGTTCAAAGATTTTAAAGACATTAAAGAATCTTACATTGTTCGTTCTGTAATCAAAATACAAACAAAAAGATGTGCAGGATAGCTGCTGGGACAATTAACGGTCATGAATCAACATAAGAAATTGTACTTTTTAAGATAAGTAGGATAGCTGTTAAGGTACTGTTGATGCAATTTCTGGTCTGGTCGAGGGGCTTATTAGAAGTTAAGATGAAGAATGTATCAGACTTGTTATAAAAAAGAAGGTTAGGGGACATCGGAAGTAGTATTTTAAGATACACATAGATACTCAAATCAACGAGGTGTATGAAAAGGAAGTAAGAGAGAGTAGAAGACAACGAGAGAAAGCAAAAAATTGTGTAGAAAACATGGTACTTATAAGTTCTACTTTTATATATCTTACGAGTGATGACGTGATTAGTTGGACTGTCATGTGTAAACCTTAAATTACTAATATGGCAATTAGAGTTTTATTGACATGGTTATTAAAATAACAGGTACAATTTGATTTGCTTTAATCTCTAATCATGTCTGGTAACATTATAAACTTGTTAAATTGAGGTTATCTAAAACCCAGTCTAAGAATTTTCTTAAAAAATGTCCCTTACCATCTTATTGCAGCTGTTGTCAAACGTTCACATTTGGCTACTCCAAAAGCTACGCCAAAAAATCACTAACTAATACAGGGAGAGTGTAGAATATAGAGTGACAGCAAACAAGACTTCTCCCTCCCATGTACAATACCTTACAAAATATATATAATTGGATAGAAAAATTATCAACATCTATGTTACTTGGACTCGGAGCATAGGATCCTGATCCGTATCCATGCTTATTTGAAGGGTTCGATCTCCGTATCTGTTGGATACGTTATGGAATCTAATACTTTGAAGAAAATGAAGAATTAATGCATTATAGATGAAAATGTTTGTAGAATATATAGTTTTCAGACTTTTCCTACAACGTTTTGCGCTAGGTTTTTATTGGACGGAGTAAATTTCTTGTCTTTAAGCATCATGATTTTGCAAAATAAATAGTATGATAGATAGAATGATAAATTACTTGCCATATTTTAATGCAGAATTCAAGGAAAAATGTTTTGAGAAGTGAGCAACTTTAGTTATTAGCTTTTGCTTTATTTACCTGGGAGGAAAAGGAAACATGAGAGAAGAAATAACTAAAAAAAAGAAAAAATGGATGGTAGTAGCTGATTAATTCATGTCACAAAAAGCTACCGTTCATGTATGGTGACAACATCCCTTCATTATAATTTGTTCCAATTTTTGTCATCCTTAAACAAAAACAAGATTCGATAATTTTAAACATGATACAATAATATAATATTATAATGATAAAAAATAAAAATAAAAGTAATACGGTTTAAAATTTTAATAATGTGTTTAATAAAAACAAAAAAAATATGTTTTACTTTACACATATGAACACAAACTATGATGCAATAATTTTCAAGTTTTACGCGTATTAAATACGAAACAAACAGATATGAATATTCCAATTATCTATCTAACAAACCCAATCCATGAATTTCTCTATTAAAAGAGTTAATCAAGGAGAAGCAAAAATGGTGGTGGGACACGTCCAAAAGTTTAATCTTTCTTTCATGGTTGTGTACTTGATGCTCATGCTTGTGCTAGAGCAGTCACTTACTTCCTTGATATCCATGTAGAAAATCTTCATTTCCAAGTAGTTACAAATGACAATGCAAAACTTTTTAATGAATATATTTAGTTCACAAATTCAAAGTGGCAAAACAGCATGAACACCAGCTAGTAAAATTTTCAGAAAATTTAAGCTACAAGATTAAACAGATTTTCTCCACTTTGATCATCGCTCCAGGAGACTCATAGCAATTTCACACTTAGGCTCGACCTGGCGGTTGTCTAGACGTTGCTGCTCTCCTGAAAATATAAGTACAAGAAAAATGTTCTAATAAAATCCAAAAGTATATGCCAATTTTTTTCGGTATAGAAAAAGCCGTAGCGTGAGGATAAAAGAAGGATATGAAGTGTATACCAATTTGAATTTCATTGTAATGGTATCATTTTTCATATGTGGATTATTATATAAGAAGGGAACCGATTTACTGAAACAGAAGGAAAATACCTATGTATTTCAACAGGAAAGTACTATATATCAGTATGTCGATCATACGTGAACAATCTACAGTCAGGGTAGTAACTGTATGTGTAAGCATCACTTTTTCAGTGTCTTATGAAATTCAAGCCACAAAAGATTGATCTATCATGCCTGGTCATTGATGAGTATCGATGAAGGGGAGGCAAGTGGTTAAGTCAAGAAGAAAATATGCACATGCATGTTATCTGAGACAAGAATATCTACCTGTTGTGAATGGGATCAGGTCCAGTAGGAACTCTTCTCTTGCTTACATAATTGAGATGGAAATCCTGATGAGAATTACGCCTCTCTTGTCCAACAAACTCCCAATGTTGTTTGAAATCTCTAGTTGAGGGAACCATTATAGATTTTGTCATTGCAGTTGCATGGTTTGCTATGATGCCAACAAACAATAGCCAAATAACTCCCACAAGCACAGTAACCCCAAGCAGATACTTCAAAGCTCTACAACCCCTAACCATATCTTTCGCTGCTTCTACAAGTTTTCACCAAAGAATTGCATGCCATTCAACAGAGAACTCAGAGCAACCATGTTGATTTTTAATGGAAGAAAATGCATGTGGAACACTCAGTGAACAGAAAGGAGAAATGAAGGGACGGTAAAGCAGAGAAAGACTCACAAGTGCTTTTAACTAGGCGGTTAAGAAGTCATTTGTCCTGTTTAAAGATGTAAGATTGAAGCAAACACTGTGTTTTGGGAGAGGAGAGAGAAGAAAATGACTGATAAAACAGAAAAGTTTCGTTGCCCTTGTTGCTTTATATATTGAAATAGGCCCATGGGAGCTCTGTTTCTTTGTTTTGTTTTGTGCATTTTCATGCAGCAAGCAGGCAAGCATATGGGACCTCACTATCTCTCCCAACTCTAATGTGTTCTAAGCTTGTAAAAGATATAGGGGCTTGTGCCTGTTATAGCAAAACATTATTCTGTTGTGCCCAAATGTATTATTATCCTCCATCCAATCAGAAAAGAACAAGCTCTCAAAACCAAATATAAACAAAGGAAAAAGAAGAATCTAATGAAAGAAGTTTGTAGATGTTGTAGATACATATATTCAAAGGGTTGCTTCTTGGCAAGCTAACACAGACAGGGAGGATTCCATCAATCAGCCCTTGAAAAGGGGAAAATTCGAAAGCGAAAGGCGTAAAACTAAGCAGACAACTGCCTGGCTAGATTTGCAGTTTTCTTACACTGTAAGTATCCCATCCTACTTTCCCAATTCATTTTTTAACCAAATATGAGGCACCATGATTGTTTGTAATCCAGGAAATGTTTGTGAATGTATAATAACTATATGCTCTGGACAAAGTGGCAAACATCCTGCAAATTGCAATGCCTTTTGAATTGTTTTTAAACAGTAAACAGGTCTTGAGAGTCCCACCACATAGAGTACAAAAACAAAAGAAACAAGAATAGATACCGGCAATTAGAGAATTGTGATTTGAGTTTATTTGCTTTATTAAGTCCTTTCAAGAATCTAAATTTGGACAAGAAGGAGATCCTGCTCCCTACTGTCTTGCAAAGGCATTGCCAATCACATTGAAAAACACCATAGCCCTACTAGAAAAGTTTATGTTATCCACACAGCCAAAAAGAAGAAAAAGAAACAGGTTCTTGCACCCCTTTTGATTATTGTAACTCTCTCTACCATTGAACAACAATTCAGAAACATGAAGGGAGAAATTAAAAAAAAAAAAAAAGAAGGAAAGAAATATAGAAGATGCTCAATCAGATAATGAACTGGATTCAGTCGTACGCAATGAATCTGACATACTTTGAGAACTTTTAATAAGAAGATTCATATAACAATATTAGTAAAAAAAAACGAATAAAATTTGAAAAAAAGAAAAAATCCCAGGGAAACAACAGACAAGCTGTTTAAGCTCATGTTTATTTTCTGGTTAATTTCACATGCATCAGAACAAAACTAGCTGTTGAATCTTAAAAGCATAATGAACCAAACAAGAAAGCACAGCTTAATCAGTCAGGAATGAAACTTAAAATGTTAAACACAACCTAGTGCATGACATCTAAGTAATTCCATTACTAATCTTGGGTTTCTCATTTGGCCAAAAAAAATCTTGGGTTTCTCAAATCATAAAGGTTCCTCGATAACTTTAGCCAAAGAGACATCAATTAGCGCTGTCATTTTCAATAGGTACAAAAATGATTTTGTGAATACACCTATGATTTTCTTGTAGAGCATTATTCCCTCCAAAAGAATTTCAGTTCAATAATGCTTGTTTTGTGGGACAACTCTTTCAATCATGTGAGAAATGAGACCCAGTGCAGGACACAAAAAATCCCACCCCCTAATCAGGACAAAAAAATCCCCCACAAGGCAATCACTGAAATGAGTAACTCATTTTGATCTCCAAAGAAAGATGAAAAAAGACAAGAACCAATGTTAACTGTTATGAAATTTATATACCAACAACATTTGGAAAATAAATTTTACTAAAATATGGAAAGAGATGCTTGATTAATTTGATAAACATTTGCTTTCCAAACTATGGTTGAATGAATAAGTAGTATTAATACTTTAAACAGATTATATATGTCTCACAGTCAATTCTTTTGCCCCCTTGCCATAAATCAACTTCCTTTACAAAAGATAAAAGAAAACCAAAACCACAGAAAAGGAAAAGGTAAAGAAAGGCAGAACAGCTTCCTCCTATAAAACTCAAAGTATCAATTGAAGTGGACCACCCTCCCCCTGTTAAATAAAAAACCCTTGTCTTTATGGGATCCATGCTTTTGGACAGTGTATCTTCTATCTGACATGAGGAAGGTGTGTTTTATGGGCATCTCCATGGCCCCAGTCTTGATTTTATGTTGGAGAGACCAACAGATTCTTTGGTTCAAAAAAATGTGCTTTAACCAATGTTGATTGCTCATTTCAATTTCCTCATCATTGAAGTGTTAAAAAATTAAGGGAAAGATAAGAAGATGATTAATGCAATGCACCCAAATGAAATTTTTGCTTCTCAAGGAACATTTTCTTGAACTATCAGCCATCAATCTTAATGTATCACATAACTAAATTGATCTCAAAGAAATGATCAAATGAAAAATGAATGAATAAAAACCAAGTATGTGCAATCTATTTATACAGAAGAGGATAAAGAAATGGATGTAAAATGAAAATTTCTAAGCTGTTGGTCCCATGCATCATCCAAAAAGCACAGAAATGCCACATCTTTGAACTTTCTGTGGAGAAGCATTGTTTTCTTCTGGTTTAGGATACCTAGGAACATTGTTTTCTGGTTTTTTCTCCATAAAAGGCCCTATGAGCCTTGTGGTAAGAACGAGACAGATGATCTTTTTGCAATGCGTTGCTCAGATTTTCTCTTTTTTTTTTTTTTGTTGGCTTGAATTAACAGTTTATAGATACCTGATGCCTCGATAGATAGTTTATAGTTTTAATTCCTCAATAAGATCAGAATTTTCTAGCCTCTGGATAACTAGTTGTTGGTAGTTTAGAATGTGGTGCATCTTTGGATAGAAATATTTAATTATTTATAAATAAAATTAATTTTTGTATTAGTTTTATTCATGTTTTAAATAATTATGTTTGAACAGAAATAATTATCATATGACAAATAATCATAACTATTTGAATATAAATAGATTATTGTTCATAAAGGTCATGATTATACAGAAGTGTATAATCATCTAAATATAAGTTTATTTTTGTTCATTCATTATAAATAAATATTTCAGTATAACCATTTTTCACTACTTTTGATTGGAGAGTTTAAGGTTTTATTGTATCTTAAAGGCATAAATGTCTTTAAAAAAATATTCTTCACACCTCAAAGCTAAAATTATTTTCTATTATTTTTCTTCTCTTATTTATTTATTTACAACAATTTAAAAGCAATTATGAGAAATTTATATTTCGCACAAACAAGATATAAGGAAAAGAAATTGGCATGATTTGGAGATCAATATTAAAGGAGGCTTAAGGTGTTAAAGGATTAATATTTTCATGGACCAAAATGTTAATTTTCATAAAGATCTTTATTAGAGGTATATATTTTATATTTTGCATAATTGTTGGTAAGAAGATTGACTAAATGAGATAAATACGTTAATAATTAATTTCATTAGTGTGTAAAGTCAAAACACAATATGTAAAACATTAATTACATTGCATAAGTTTATGTATATACTAAAATTGACTTCATAATTGAGTTTAATAAATTGTATTATATCTATTTAAAAAATCAATGCTTAAAAATATTAAAATGAAAAATAGCCTGAAAACATAAAAGAGAAAGACATGAATTGATCTACAACAAAAAAAATTATCACTTGTTATCAAGTAATGAATTAAATTAGATTTTAATGGAATGATCGATTATTTAATTGTCATGTCTTGGTTATACATAGAATAGGCAAATTGTCCCATGGTTTCTATGAAAAATAATTGGAAATGAGTAAAAGAATTTACCATGAAAAATCATATCTAAGGTGAGAATATATGTAGAAAATAAGATTTGGTTGCAAGATTAGTTTTATTTTTATATCATGGCACAAAAATTAAGATAATAAGTTGAGTCAAGCTATTTGTATAAATCTATCATTGTTGGTTGTTTATAAATCAAATGTTGATATATATTTTTTAAAAATTTATTATTGGTTCAAATTTTGGCTAGTGTTCAATTTCATGAAAACTAATTAAAATTAAATTGATGTATGTGAATAATTATTATTAAGATATGTTGTTTATGGATTAATTGGTGGATAATAAACCAAATAATTGTTATTATAAAAAACATCGGTAATGTAACATGTATTTTACTTGTTGGATATATTACACTAGAAGTAATTTTACAAAATAAAATTTTATTGTGAATAATCACAAAGAAAAAGTTTAAGGTACAATTTAACTTGTGTTTGATGGTTAAAACAAGTAAGACAAATAAACTCAAGAATTTGGAATATAAATGTTCCTGTTGTATAACTAATGAAATTGGCTTACAAAAGGTAGGAGATTAAAGAGATGCTTGTTTAAAAAGAAAATATCAAACTATTATAACTATGAGGTTTATAAAGGTCTAGGTTTTGAAATATTATTCCCATTAATGATAGCATTTATAAATTGTTTGAATTTATAATATAATAAGTTAATACAAGTTTATTATATGCAATGAATATATAATTTCATGAAGAATTGTGGCTGATGGTAATGTAAAATACATTAAGTATGTATATCTATGGCATCCCTATATTTTATAAATTTTATATTAGTATTACTAATTAAATTTTGGCCAACAATTTGGGCTAATTAGATTATTGATTAAAAGAAAAGGAATGTCATTAAAAATATTGAAGCATTTGTCGATTACTAGCATTTTGAAGGATACTCATAATGTCTAAATTAGTCATGTTTATAAATTAGAAAAGAACATACAAATTCAATGTTCCAAAGGCATTGCTACATGCATGTGTTTAATTTCATTTTATGATGGCATAGAGAACGTTGGTGTAATTTGTCATATATTATGAAAATGAAATGAACAAGATGAAATTTTTTTCTTATATGTTAAGAAAAATATGAACTATGGAGATAGAATGCCATCATCAAATTAATATATTATTGGTTAAAGACAATGAAAACATTTTTACTTATTGTACCTGAAAAAACATTTTTGCTTCTTGTAACTGAAAAAAATGACTTTTTGCAGGCTATTAAAATAAAAAGTGAACAAGTTTATGAGGTTTTCAATAGTTTCATAGCAATGACAAGAATATGGCTAGTTATACCCCAAATTAACATATGAGCTTAGATAATAATATTGCTTTGTAAAAGCCGTAAACCTTGAAGTTAGCCAATCAATGATTTAACAAATACAAATTCATCATGAATTTTTGTATGAAATATGAGTAGAACTCATATTATAATTATTGTTTATACTATTTTATGAAATTGATTCTTTGGATTCATGTTGCATGACTTGCGTTGATATCATAATCTAAATATGAATATATTGATCACAAAATGATTGTGAAAGTATTTGAAATTAGAGTTAAATATATTATAGACTCTTTTTGTACATAGGCATATTTATCTTATAAGTAAAATTTGAATTTATTATATATTTGAAAATGTTATGATTAATTAAAAATGGTAAATAACAGAGATATATAAGCTGTATAATGGTGTAGAAATAAAGTTCTCATAAAAATTTGAAATCAAGTTTAGAGGTTTCAATAGTCATGAACTTAGAATTGGTCATTACACAATTAATATATGCATTGGAAACTCATGATAACATTTGAGATTGTTGGTTTTCACTAAAAACCATAACTATAAATGAGATAACTTCAATAACCAAATCTACATGATTTGTAAGTATGATATGGATTATTATGGTTGGCTTAGAATAGCCATAGGCCAAAATTGATGCCACAATCTTGATCACATTGTGGTAATTTTTTGTTATATATATGATCTAATTTATGGATTGTATAAATGATTTATCATCTATGGTTCTATATAGTAAAAGTTTCAAAGTATATTTATTTTGAAAGCTACGAGTAATTCAAAGATTTTGTGAATATGAAAACTTTTATAATAGCAAAAGGAATGCTATGTAATCCATTTGGGTTATGAAAATGGTTTTGTTCATGATAATAAAAAAAATTATTAATAGTCTCCATGATGAAATAGATATTTACATGATTTGTAATAGTGTCAATTATTAAAAGTATTTATGAATTGAAATAAAAAGTCTTAAAAAGAGACTATAGAAGCATGATTATATTTGAAATTTGCTTATTAAAGTAAATTTTTATATTGAGTTAAAATATAAAAGTTTTGAAAAATATAAAAGTTTTGAAACTTTTATATAAATATTAAGATATTTACTAATTGTCTTTCACTAAAGGTGGATTTAGAGGCCTTATACTTAGAAAAAAAAACTATCAAATAGCGAAAGGTAAATAAATTAAAATTTGATTAAGTATATATGATATCTTGACAATTGAATGAGATATTCTTCAATAAAATAATATATACTTGCACACGGTGAAGGTGATAAGAATCATAAGAAACAAAAATTACCACCATAGTGTTGTAAGATTTTAATATAATTTTACGAGTAAATTATACAAGTTAATAAGTTTATATACTTTCTACAGTAAAATCATAAAAAGTCCTTAAAAATCTTAAAAGGACTAAAATGATTTGGTTTATTCATTGAATTTATCCAATTATAGTAAAAGTATAATTATATTAAAGATGTATAAAAATATGGAAATAGAATGGTTGAAATTTATGAGTATAAAGTTGTGGCTATAACCAAAACTAACTATTTCTTAAAATGATAAAAATGAGACAATAATGTCTGGAGATATAAATGATATGCACAATAAAAAGTTCAGACATATTAGCCTGAAATGATTATATTAAATATTTAATCTAAAATGAGAGTAATTACTATAAAAGAAAATTGAATTCCAAAATATTTAGTTAGTAGTACTATAAGTAGAATAGATTTAAACCCTTATTATTAGACACAAATAATGAAAACCCAACTTTGAATTAGTAACCTCTAATTACAAAGTTTAATAAGTAAAAATAAATTATTGTTATGTGTCTGTTAAATATTAGTAAAATATATTCAAAATTTAGAAACTTGTATGATCAATTACATGTAGATGATGAGTTTTTATATTCTTAATGGAGTATTAAATGTCTAAAGTAATAGAGATACAATGAAAATTCTACCTATATAAACATAGAAGTGATGCCGCTTCAACAAAAAGAATTCGGGTCTCTATTGTAAATGTTTATGAGTAGGATAAGCCCATGGCTATAATAGTGCTAAAAGTGGTTATAAATCTCTGACAGAAGAATAAATAAGTATTGTATGTTATATCTTCAATTCTAACATTAAGAGTTGATGTTTAATCTGTGGACACCATCAATTTCATTAGAATTCTAAGATATATACGTTAATTAATGGTTTAAATCGAGAGATACATTTTTATATTCATAATATTTATTTGTGTGAAAGATTAAAAATTAAGCATCAACAATCCAAACTAATGGGAGATTGTTGGTATTTAGAATGTAGTGCATCTCATATTTGATAGAAAGATTTAATTATTTATGAATAAAATTAATTTTTGTATTAAGTTTATTCATATTTTAAATAACTATATTTAAACAGAAATAGTTATCATATGATAAATGATCATAGCTATTTGAATATAAATAAATTATTATTCATAAAAGTTATGATTATACATAAAGTTATAACCATTTGAATAGAAGTTTATGTTTGTTCATTCATTATAAATAAACCTTTCAGGATAATCATTTTCATTACTTATAATCGGAGAATTTGAGGTTTTGCTATATCCTAAAAATATAATTGTTTTTAAAAAAGTGTTATTTATGCCTCAAAGTCAAAATTTTTTTTTATTATTTTCTTCTCTTATTTATTTTTTCTAACACTAGTTTAGTATAAATATGATTGGTTGATGCATGTCACATATAGAAATACATTGTTTTTAATTGATTCATAGCCAAAATCATTTGCTATCAACTTGATATATGGGGTATGGTTCATTATCATTAATATCATAAGTAACAATATATTATTCAGACTCCTGACGAGTACTGTATCAAATATGACATGCATCACAGACATTGGTACATTTAAATTTTTCTAAGTTATTTCATTTATTTGGAGAGTCGGATATATATATATATATACACTCATCTCTATAAGATATGTGGACAGACATGAATACTTCAAGAAAAATAAAGAGTCAGAGCAACAAAGTTGCTCGTACTATATACACGTATACCATATTATTTGACATGAGAACGTTTGATTTTTCTTAAGTTTATTATAATTTATATTCACCAGGAGGAATCGATTATATTCAACACAAGTACATTAAAAACAAATTATTAGTCAGAATATAGTAGATATTAGAAGAAACTTAGCAACAGGCTCTCACAGTTTGTTCCATAACACATACTTGTCTAAATCATCAGACTTAAAATCGAACTAAGTAATGAAAAGAACTATCTAAAAGTTCAGGAAATTGCGAACATACGTATCTCAATGTCCCTATCCAGGATAGCATCAACAAAAGAACTTGCAGAAGATGAAGCATCAGTGTGGATGCTGACCTGATTCATTGTGGAAGACCTGTAATCATCATATGCTCCAAAACCCTGAAGTTCAACTTTGTTGAAGTTATGGTCACTTCGTTGTCTGTTCTTCAAGGAAGATGTCTTGCAATTAATATGATGCATTATCTTCAACACATGGATTTTTTCAAGCATGAAGGAAAGAATAAAATTGAAACCTGCTTTCTTAGGAACCAAGGTCCAGTTGCCAATTCCGTGTTTGGAATTTCTTCAGCAGTCCAGAGACCCCTGTTAACATTGGATTTATCACAGCAAGGGGGTCTTCCCATTGAATGATAATGGTGACTCACACACACACACACACACACACACACATATATATATATATATGATTTATTATATTTAATGGTGATGCAATTGATTCTAAAGAGAGATTATGTTTGAAGAGAAGAAAAGAAATGTTTTTAACAAGTGAGAAGATGGCCAAAAAAAAAAAAAAAAACCTTGAAAATATGTACTCCCAATTCTAAGTGCAAATTTTGCGTGAACTCATGGTAAATGTTCACTTGCAAGGTAATTTTTGCCGAATGTGGTTTTTATTTGAAAAGCTTGTAGTGTGCCAAATTTCATTATCTGTTTATTTTTAACCTTTTTAGTAATTTTGTTTTGTTTGCTTTTTCCTTAAAAGTTTCCTTTTTGACGTTTTCAGAAGAACTCAAATTTCCTCTTTTTTTTTTTCATTAAAATACATAACTATATTGTTTATATAAAAATGAGATGACTGAAAATATTTATTGGGCTTTTGTGATAAACCATACAATTATCTATTTTTCAAAAAAAAAAAAAAAGCATTAGAAAATTCGAATTAACTGATGAGAATCGTCTATTTGGTAACAAAATGTTGAAATTCTCTGTCAATTGGCTCCAGAGTATAGTCTAGCCTCCAAAGGCCACCATTTGCATGTTCATCAGAGAAAAGGAGTTAAAGACTAACTAATAGCTAAATCATTCTGTACAATGTGTTCCCAATCCAATGAAAAGATTTGCATCAAATGATAAAATTTAGATAATAATCAATGTGAGAAATCAACTTTCGAAAAGGAAAAACGAGATAGAGATGATAGTAACCATCTGTAAGATATGACATTCCACAATAAAAAGATTTTATGTCCTACAAAATGTGTGTGCATTGAGCACAACTCCAATATCAGTATATACAGCTATTAAATGGTTAACCATCTTTCTTTAAAGAACCCGGAAACAGCCTGGGAAATAACTTACTAGGAGGAGCATACCTTACAACTCTTCCTACAGAATCCGTAAGACTCGTCAGAACCCACCATGTAAGTAGGGTTCTTTTCACACTCGCCAGCCTTAGCCCAGATGGGGCAGTTCTCATTGTCATCAACACAGTCCCCGTTTGCAAAGCGCTTCTCCAGTTTATCAAAGGACCTGACATGGATCCACTTTGTTGCAGACCATTTCTCACCCTTTATTACCGGGCAACTTCCATGCAAACTGTTGGAATCAATAGTTGCATCAAGATGAAGACTGAAGAACAATAATGCATCGCCTTTTCTGGGTTTCACTGCAAGTATATGCAGTACACTGAGGACCATATGGTAAGATTTCTATTGCTATAATTTACTGGAGAACCATTAAAATAAGAACACAATATGGCAGTTTTGTGGTAATATCAACAGAACTCATTGAAATGACAGATTACTAGCCAATCCAAGAAGTGGGCCTATATATGATAGAGATAGTGCAGATAAATAATGGCAAACGGAAATGACACTGCTGTGTCCAAGAGAATCAAGATCAAAATGCATTTGTTCACTCTAAAAGAGAAAGTAAACAAAAAAAAAAAGAAAAAATACATTGGCTTTTCACCTAATATCTCAAAGGGTAATCGTAATACCTGCATATCCATTTTTGGCACAATCTGACCAGCTTTCGTTCTTGGGCTGAGCAAGTTTTCTCTGCAGAAGACAAATGAAGAAAAATGAACAAAATAAGCAAAAATCATCGAAATGTAACAATGAGAGAATAGGAGCAAAGTATAAATTAAATAAAATTAAAAAAAAAAAAGACTGCAAAAAAACTGGATTCGCAAGCAAATGCTTGCCTCTGAATTTGGAAACACAGTTTCCCCACCACTATCAACATCAGACAAATACATCAGTACAGTGGCAATACGGTGACCACCCAGCTCTTGGTTAGCCTTGTCAAGAAAATAATCGAAATGTGGCTCATACTTCTGACCATGCTCATAGTGTAGTATTTGCATGGATTCCCCATTCTCTGTTTGCAACACCATGTTCAAGGAAGATGAGAAAAATGTCCTTCCATACTGATTAAGAAATTCTAAAGTAGCAATAAGCAGTGATAAATATACCTACAGGAAGGAAGGTCCATGCAGCAATCCTGGCTTCAACATCAGCAACTACTTCATCCTTCATATCAGAAACAAAGGACACTACATAAGCCTTTGAAGTTCAAGAATCACCATATGCGATGCTCTCCAAACATGGTCCATAAATAAAAACTATCCTAGTTATCACAATAAGGATAGAGTAAACAGTCTCTAAACTCAATGAAACACATAACTAATCCTTGCATGCTTGCATCCACGACAGTAATTTATGGCATGGATTTGACGAGGCTTGAATTAGCCAGAACCAATGTGACTAACTCTTAAGCAATGATCTTTTCAACTGTTCATTCAATGAGGAAACAAATTCTTTTGGTAAAGAACCAGCATTGAAATTAAGTTTGAACAAATCATGAGGGAAAAAACCACAATCACACAATCCATTAATTGTGACAAACTACCACCTAAAACTTGGTTATTTATGAAGAATACAGAAAAAACTGCTGTGAATACAAACACTGTGGAATACAAATTCTAACAGAACATCAATAAAAAAAAAAAAGTTTGGCAATACTGCCATTAACTGGTTCAAAGCTCATAAGTATTCCACAACTTTTATTTGATAATCATAAGATCAAATCTGTCAACATCAAATGCAAGTTCTCAAAAAACAGAGCAAACTCAAATCATTGTGAACAATTTTCTCATTAAGAAAATTGTCATGACATAATTCTATAGGTTATGTTTGGTGCATAAGATGATGGATAGAATAGGATTATAATCATCCTATATCATGTTTGATTTGTGCCTAAAAAAGGGGACAGGATTGCAAGGAGGATTAATTATCCTCTTGGCACAGGATGATTCAATCCTCTCAATGTGGAGAGGATTATTTTTAATCCATGGGATTAAACTTACATGTCTTATTATATCCTTAAAAATTACATCAATAATTTAAATTGTATATACTTTAAGGAAGGATAATTTTGATCAATAATAAAATTATCCTATCCTAATCGTTGCACACATCAAACACAAGATATGATGACATTATTTAATCTAATCCTATTCATAATATCATTTTACTTTATCCTATCATAATCTTGTGCATCAAACACGTCCCGAAGCCATATACTTATCCTTTCTTCAGAAACTACAACAAGATTTCATTGCATAAAGTCAATTTAGCCAAAAATAAAAAATACAGAAAACAAAATCAGGTGATGAGGAAATCATTCCATTTACTTCTAAGTTCTATAATTTTGATCATTGATTCAACATTCGGATGCGGACACCATGAATAAACCAACAACATTCATCTCCTACATTAACAGAATTCCAACTAATTTCACAGCTTTAAAAAAAAAGAAAGGCAACTTGTGAGATTTACCTGAGCTTTCTGAAGAAACATGCCAGAGCTGGTTCGAACTTCACTTTCAATGCTTTCACCTGATTCATTATCTGCCACCATTGACTTCTCTAACTTATCCTTAGCCTGAAATCAATTCAATTAAAAAAAAAGAATTTAAATTCATAAATCGAATTCTTCAAAAAAGATAGTTAAAAAATAAAATAAAATTGTTGCTTACCAGATTAATAAGGTGATCACATTCCTTACTCGATAAAAATCCTTTGTAAATAAAAGCTCTGCAAAAAGAAAAAAAGAATCATAAATTTCACAGTTTTGACTAAATTAAACCAAAAATAAAAATGAAAATGAAAAAAAAAAAACTGAGAGAAATTAAAGTTACCTAGGGTGCCATGAGAGTTGAGTAACACGAGTCGGATCAAATAGAACTGAAGAAGTTCCTCTTTTCATTTGAAGCACCGATCCATTAATCTCAGCTGAAGCCAAACAGAAATTAAGGCAAATAAGAAGAAAGAATCCGAGGAAATATCCAGAATCCATGAGAAAAAAAAATTATGGCTCCAATCCGTAATGGAATTACAGAGAGAGGAGAAGGCTTCGAAAGACTTTGTCTTTTTTTTTTTTTTTTTACTTTTACTTTTTTATTTAGGAATGGCGTAAGGTTTTTTATTATTTTTAAAATTTTAATTCATCTTTACAGCTCAGATTTTATCTATTTAACTCATCTGATAAAAATCTTATGCGTCTAATTATCTCGAAGCCTTAATTTCAAAAAATTTGACAAAATATCTATTTAATTAATTCATTTATAAAAACAATTTTTTGTCTTGTGATTTTTCACAAGCTTTTATTTAAAAAAGCAAAAAGTAATAAGAAAATCATAATTAATTAAAAATAAAATTAATATTTGCATTCTCATCTAAAAAATTATATATTTCATGTACAATCTTTCAACCATATTATTTGCATCCAAATACATTTTTTTTTTACTAATTTATGGCACGCGTGTGATGTATGTATAATTTTTGTTTTTAAAAATTTATTTTAATAAATAAAAACTTTTATATTATGATAATAATAATAAATATTAATAATTTAATTTTAATTTTGATATAATATAAATAAAAATTGATAACTTTTGATATAATTTTGATTTTCTAACTTTTAATAAAATTTTAGTAACATTTGATATAATTTTGATAACTTTTAATATTAGTTTGATAACTTATAATACAATTTTGGTAACTATTGATAAACTTTTAATAACTTTTTGATGTAAATTTAAATTAACCTTCTAATAACTTATGATATATTTTTAGTAATTATTGATAAAATTTGTGTCATTACATATGTAACAATGGATTACTATAGGAAAATGTAGATTTAGTTCTAATATAAGATTTTTTTATATATGAAAACATTATTGTTTCATTCAAATTTATAAATTTTTTCACTAAATTTTTTTTATTGAATAGGTTCGTGGTAAATATATCATAGTCTCCCAAGATGAAATTTCTAATTTCGTTTCTTTTAGTAATCAAAGTTCAATTTCTGACAACTTTAAGTATAAAAAATTCTATTAATGATTGACAATTATGTTATCAATGATTTATTATTATATTATCATGATTATATATTGTTAAATTATCAATAATTTATTACTAAATTAGCATTGAATTACTATTAATTTATGAATGATTTACTATTAAATTATGAATTATTTACTTCTAAATTGTTGATGATTTACTACTATATTACCGATAATTTGTTATAAAGTTATAATTTATTTGTTATTAATTTATCAATGATTTACTACAAAATTATCAACGATTAATTAATTTAGTACTAAATTATCATTAATTTATAACTAAATTGTAAGTGATTTACTACTAAACTGTCAATAATTTACATCTAAATTATCAATAATTTACTATTATGTTATTATACTTTTACTATTATGTTTGCTTGACTACTTAATTTTCGATTATTTACTACAAAATTATCACAGATTTATTACTAAATTAACTTTGATTCATTATCAAGTTATCACTAATTTATATTAAATTATCTATAATTTACTATTAAGTTATTGACGATTAAGTACTACTAAATAATATTGATTTATTTTTAAGTTTCCAATTATTAACTATTAAATTATAATTGATTTACTACTAAATTATTTATAATATACTATTAATTATCAATTAATTACTACTAAATTGAAACTTATTTACTATTAAGTTATTACTAATTTATTGTTAATATATTATTGAGTTATTATTAAGTTATCGATGATTAACTACTGAGTTATCACTTATTTTTATTAATTTATAATTGATTTACTAATATATTATTATACATTTATAATTATAAAATTTGAAATTTAAAAATCCACTAATAATATATGAGATAATTTTCATTTTATATGATAACGTTATTGTTTTATTCAAGTATAAAATTTTTCACTAATTTTTTTATTGAATGGGTTCATGTTAGATTTATTCTAGCCCCCAAAATGAAAGTTTGGACTTCACTTTTACTAGTAATTAGGGTTCAATCTTTGGCAACTTCAACTATAAAAAAAGTTATCAATAATTAACAATTAAGTTATTAGTTATTTCCTATTAAGTTATCAATGATTTACTACTAAACTATTAATGATTTACTTCTAATTTACTAATAATTTGCCATTTAAGTTACGAAATATTTAACGTTAAGTTATGAATGATTTTTATTAAATTATTGATGATTTACCACTAAGTTATTGATAATTATTATAAAATTATAATTAATTTACTACTAATTAGCCAATGCTAAACTAAAAAGTTATCAATGATTAACTAACTTCTACTAAATTATAACTAATTGACAACTAAATTATTAATAATTTACTAATATATTATTAGTAATTTACTTTTAAACTATTACTTTACTACTAAATTATTAATGATTTACCATGATATTTTTAGGTATTTACTATTATGTTATCATTGATTTACTACTTAATTTTTGATTATTTACTATAAAATTACCATTGATTTACCATTAAAATATCTATGATTCATTACCAAGTTACTACAGATTTATATTAAATTATGCATGATTTATTATTAAATTATCACTGATTAACTATTACATTATCAATGATTTACTACTAAGTTATATTGATTTATTTTTAAATTTTCAATGATTTATCAATTGTTTACTATTAATTTATCATTGATTTACTACTAAATTATTTGTAATTTACTACTGTTAATTAATTACAATTAAAGTAAAATTAATTTATTATTAAATTATTACTAATTTACCATAAGTTATTATTGATTTGGTATTATGCATATATTATTATATTATTACTGATTTACTAAAAAGTTATCAATTATTTATTACTAAATTATCATTCATTTATTATTAAATTATCACTAATGTACAAGTAAGTTATCGATGATTACTATTAAGTTTAACTGATTACATTTAAGTTTTCAACGATTAATTATTAAATTATTAATTATCTACTAGTATATTATCATTGATTTGTATATATCTAAAAAGAAAATAATTACAACGTATGCTATATGATTTAATTTGTAAGGTAAAGAAAAACAAAAAAAGTTTAAGTTTAAATGACTTGAAAAGTATGAATAAATGCTTTAAATTTATTATCAGTAGTTTAACACGTAATAATAAATTAAAACCATAATATTCTATATTAATGCAAGTATTAAAACTAAATTTAATAAATATATACAATGCATTAAGTCAAATTTTTTAAGATATTCTTTAAATTTTTAGTTCATGATAAAATAGTACATATTAAGATAAGTTTGATTTATGATTTGATTGAATCATTACTATATATATTTCATAACTGTTAGTGAAGTACAATTACATATAAAATATTAAAAATTTTGATGTGTTTTGTCACTAATGAAAATAACAAATTTTGCCTTATATTTTTATTTTAAAGTATACAATTTTGGATAAAAATTTTGTTATATATATGATAGAAGTAATGAGAATAAATTTACTAAATAAAATTATAAAAATTAAACAAACTATAATTGTAAAAAATATTAAATTTACAATAATCACATTTGCATTCTCTATAAAAAATTCTTCTACTAAATGAAAAGATGGTATATTTTTAATCGTTGCATCATGCTTATTACCATCATTCAAAATAACTTTTTTGGTATTTTGATACCAATCAACTTCTCCATTTTGAAAAAAAGGAAAGAATATTTTGCATTCTCCATAAAATGTTTTTCTACTAAATGAAAAGATAATATATTTTTAATTGTTGCTTCATTCTTATTACCATCATCAAAATAACTTTTTTAATATTTTGATGCCAATCAATTTCTCTATTTAAAAAGAGTGAAGAATATTATAAGGTTCATAATAGGCCAAATAATATTTAACTCTATGTTATTTTTAAGAATAAGTTTGAACTATGATATGACCTATTTCAAATGAAATGTTTGAATTGTTTCTTTCAACCCATATTATAATACAAATGAACGATTATAAACTTGTTGATCCAAATTAACATTTTTATAATACAAATTTCAAAAATCCTCAAAAAAGAAATATCCTTTAATCTCTACAAAACTTGGGTATAATGATTTTCTTCTAAAATTATCATTAGTATTTCTATTACTTTTGCACTTAAATTTTTATTGTTTTGTGTTCTTGTTCTGTTTTAAACTTTATTACTATGTCATAAAAGAATAACTAAAATAACATGAATTAATTAACTTAGATTTGAAACAATTAAAAACTCAAATTGAGTATAAATAAATTTTTTACTCATTTTAAATTTTAATTTAATTAAAATAATATAATCCACATAATTATAAAAATAAATTAACTTAACTTGATTTTAATTGATTTTAAAAAGTTAATAACTCAATAGTTATTTAAAACCCGAAATAATTGAACATAACAAAAATTCGAATTGAAATAGTTATCTAATCAAAATCAAATATTATTCATCTCCCGTAATAATTTAAAAGTTTTTAATTTAATTTTTTTTCCTTTCATCTTCAATGTTTTATTGTTATTATTTTTGTGGTTGAATTAGTTAATTAATTTTAGAACTATTTTTAAAATGGAATTGTAATTATAAGAAATGAAGTATACCTTTTTTTTATTTAAATTTAGGACGATTGAATCTAACTTTTTTAAACAAAGAGAAGTCCGCATCAATTATTTAGTCAAATTTGCTTAAGTACATAAACGAATAATTGAGTACACTATGAATAGAAATAGATGATAGAACTTGACTCAACCTAGTTGGTTATTAATCCTAAGTCTAAAATCCAACATGATTAAATAAAGATTTATTAAATGAATTTTGCTAATGAATGCATTTAAATCACTTTTCAATTTAGTTAAATTATAATTTATAATAATTTTATTTTATATGTAAAATGATAATTAATTTGATGAATTTCAATTCTTTTGAACAAATATGACCTAATATGACAACTTTAAAAATTTTAATATAACGGTGAATATTCTTTAACTAATATAAAAGAGAAAATGAATGAGTATATAACATTTCTCCAAAATAAAAGAGTCATTAATTCTAAAAAATATACAAATGCATAACTCTATTTTTCATAAATCAATAGAGT